AAACGGTCTTCAAGCGGCACGTAAGGCATAAACTTTCTTTCTGAATAGTTACTATCGGTCTGTAAGCGGCACGTAGGGCAACCCGATCGGGCAGGGAAACAGATTTTTGTACGTTTGGGGCAATTCTTGTAATTTTTTGACGGTCTTCAAGCGGCACGTAGGGCATAAACTTTCTTTTTGAATAGTTACTCTCGGTCTGTAAGCGGCACGTAGGGCAAACTGATCGGGCAGGGAAACAGATTTTTGTACGTTTGGGGCAATTCTTATGATTCCTAAACGGTCTTCAAGCGGCACGTAAGGCATGAACTTTCTTTCTGAATAGTTACTATCGGTCTGTAAGCGGCACGTAGGGCAACCCGATCGGGCAGGGAAACAGATTTTTGTACGTTTGGGGCAATTCTTGTAATTTTTTGACGGTCTTCAAGCGGCACGTAGGGCATAAACTTTTTTTGAATAGTTACTCTCGGTCTGTAAGCGGCACGTAGGGCAACCCGATCGGGCAGGGAAACTGATTTTTGTATGTTTGGGCAGTCCTTATAATTCTTAAACGGTCTTCAAGCGTCACGTAGGGAATAAACTTTCATTTTGAATAATTACTCTCGGTCTGTAAGCGGCACGTAGGGCAACCCGATCGGGCAGGGAAACAGATTTTCGTATGTTTGGGGCAATTCTTGTAATTTTTTGACGGTCTTCAAGCGTCACGTAGGGAATAAACTTTCATTTTGAATAATTACTCTCGGTCTGTAAGCAGCACGTAGGGCAACCCGATCGGGCAGGGAAACAGATTTTTGTATGTTTGGGGCAATTCTTGTAATTTTTTGACGGTCTTCAAGCGGCACGTAGGGCATAAACTTTCTTTTTGAATAGTTACTCTCGGTCTGTAAGCGGCACGTAGGGCAACCCGATCGGGCAGGGAAACTGATTTTTGTATGTTTGGGCAGTCCTTATAATTCTTAAACGGTCTTCAAGCGGCACGTAGGGCATAAACTTTCTTTTTGAATAGTTACTCTCGGTCTGTAAGCGGCACGTAGGGCAACCCGATCGGGCAGGGAAACAGATTTTTGTATGTTTGGGGCAGTTCTTATAATTCCTAAACGGTCTTCAAGCGGCACGTAAGGCATAAACTTTCTTTCTGAATAGTTACTATCGGTCTGTAAGCGGCACGTAGGGCAACCCGATCGGGCAGGGAAACAGATTTTTGTATGTTTGGGGCAATTCTTGTAATTTTTTGACGGTCTTCAAGCGGCACGTAGGGCATAAACTTTCTTTTTGAATAGTTACTCTCGGTCTGTAAGCGGCACGTAGGGCAACCCGATCGGGCAGGGAAACTGATTTTTGTATGTTTGGGCAGTCCTTATAATTCTTAAACGGTCTTCAAGCGGCACGTAGGGCATAAACTTTCTTTTTGAATAGTTACTCTCGGTCTGTAAGCGGCACGTAGGGCGACCCGATCGGGCAGGGAAACAGATTTTTGTATGTTTGGGGCAGTTCTTATAATTCCTAAACGGTCTTCAAGCGGCACGTAAGGCATAAACTTTCTTTCTGAATAGTTACTATCGGTCTGTAAGCGGCACGTAGGGCAACCCGATCGGGCAGGGAAACAGATTTTTGTACGTTTTAGGCAATTCTTGTAATTTTTTGACGGTCTTCGAGCGGCACGTAGGGCATGAACTGTCTTTCAGATAGATAATTGGTTTGTAAACGGCACGTAGGGCAATTTGATCGGACAGGGAAAGAAATTTGTTACACGTTTGTGCAGTTCTTATGATTGACGGTTTTTGTGTGGCTCCCTTTTGTAGTAAAGCTTCATATTTCTTTGGAGAAAAAATTGAAGGATTCTTTGACAAAGTTCTTAGACGACTGATTTCGTTGCTGTCGGAACTGATTCTGAGAGAAAAGTGTTTTTGTAATACACATAATTCCTATGGTGTGTTTCTACTTCCAAAACGATATGTTCTGCTACTTACTTAACGATCTTTTATGGAACTTGATGAGAAGAACTGAGCAAATTCTTTTTGAGAGGGTAGAAAAGTGGGAGGGGGGGGGGTATCTGAATGTCTGTGTGAGGAGGGAATTTGCATAAAAAGCGTGTAAACGAGATAAAAATAATATCATGCATGGATCAGGAATTTCGAGAAATGAATGATTTGTGGAGATTATTGCTTCTTCGAGCAGTTTTCCTTTTGTAGAATGCTCTTCGCAAAAATGTTCTCAGCAACAGGAAATTTATTCAGAAATATTTTTAGTCAAACCTAAGCCCTATATGCCCCGACCCACTTGCTAGCGACCCGTAGGGTCGCTAGTAAATAAATATTGAGTTGGCACAAAAGTCTATTAGCACCATTTTCAAGAATTATATTCCTTCTTCCTGAGCCGATTTGCACATTTTCATCTTTATTTGGAAGAGGAAATTATCTTTTTGAGAGTGCCTAAAGCACTTCCAAGAAAAGCACTGGAGGTCAAGGGGGACAAAATTACTCAATCTTCGTCTCGTATTTGACCATGAAAAATTTCAAAATTTGCAACAAAAATCGTGGCAATCGGTATTATACGTTGTACCATCTGCGCTTTCTAAGTGAGTGAAGATTGCGCAGACTGGACGTCGAAAAGCAGAATTTTTGAGCAAGCAAGACAAAACAACAAATTTGGTTTTCTCGGCATTTTTTCCGTATAATAACAACTTTTCATAGAGACGTTTAGTCAGGGCAAACTTTGCTCAGTTAAAAAAGCAAGCGACAAAACCTTAATACTGACTTCTCCCATATTTGTTGCAAGTCAGATTATTTTACGACCAAATAGAGGAAATTCGAACGAGTAATTTTCTCCTCCGGCTTCGATCTTCGGACTCTACTTTTATCAAAAGGCATTTCAAACACTACTATAAAAGCATCATTTCCTCTTCGAAATAAAAACAAACGTGTACAAATCGGTTAAGAAACAACGAAGTTATGATTTTGAAAATGGTGCGAACAAACTTTCGAACCCCTAATAATAATTTCATGAGTGCATAGTGTATGATGTACAAACATTCTGAATCTCTATCTCAGTTTACGACTTTAAAATTCAAAAAATGGGAGAGCGCTGTAAGGCGTGCGGGTGTGCAGATACAGGGCTTTACAACCTGAGTGTCACAGCCGCCCCGCTCGGCCGCCACGCTTAGGTCCGCGCAGCGTTCGTGGCACCAGGCTGCGCGTCGACTGAAGCTTGGCGAAATCCGGGCGATGCGCAGCAAACGCCGCGCGCGGCCTGAGCGAGGCGGCCGCGTTGGAGGAGCCGCGCAAGGGCGCCATCTAAATCTACTTAACCGGCTGCGCGGGCGGTCGCGCGCGTGTCTTCATTGCGTGCCGGGACCTACGAAGTCATTGCTTGCTCGGATCAATTGTTGGGGCACTACGATGTTTAACAGTTTTGGACGTACATATCTATGTGAGATTTTCGCTTCAGCTAGGACTTTTGTGTACCTAACAACTTTACTATTGACGAGACGAGTAGCTTTTTCAGCTAGAAGTTCATGAGCCTGCAAAAGGTATTTTGCCAACGAGTAACAAAAGACGTCGCTTTCTCTCAAACTTCGATACCCTCATTAGAATAGGAACAGCACCGCAAATTATGAATGTTCTCGCAAAATCACTTATTTCTTAGTAAATGACCTTCATATTGTTAGTGAAACTTTCCTGACACTCCTGAACCATGCTATGTGCTGCGTATTCACTCAATCCGGCAAAATTTTTTTTGCATAATATGAAAAAAAGTAAGTTTCGGCAAGAAATGGTTCTTTGCATCATGAAAGCTGAAAATGCAGGCTTGATGACTTGGCATATTCACTCTCATCCCTAAGTCCTTGGTCTTGATGAATACTACATCTGCTCCGTAAGGATACCTATTATTAAATATGAACACAAGCACGCTTTCCACGAGTGTGGTTAGCAGGAAACTGCATTACTTCATCGGGGATTCATTATTTGAAACAAATGCAGCTCTGTGAAAGTCTGGCGCTCTCGAACCTTCTAGTCTCTAAGCAAGAAGGTTTCCCCTTCTTATAATCGTTACCCTAACTTTATCGCTCTAGTCGAAGCTTCGCTAAATTCAGCGATACTATGTTGGAGACTGAATCAAAAGAGTAGTAAAAAGTCAAAAAGTTACCTAAGCATCGGTCCTGCTCGTCGCAGTAACAGATTCATTTCAAATGTCAATGAAGGGCCGCGTTAGAATGATTTGATCAACAAGTGCTCATTATATCGTGGAAAACGGGTCAATGTTAACAGCCAAGATTAGCTTCCCTAACAAAGTTCCCGCAGGAAGAGAAGAAAGTTCTTTTATAAGGGGGACTGCTATTTCTAACTTTTTCGAAAAATTGTATGTGTGGTGTCAAGTAGAAACAGTCGCAGTGTCGCGCACCTATCCACACTTGCGTAAGAACTTTTGACCCTGTTGCTTGTAGAGCAAAGTCACCTTAGATTAAGCGTCTGATATCAAAATATTGAACTCGGAAGACGATAAATGTGAGAATATATAGCTTTCTAGTGCTTCCCACACTTTCATCATAGCAAGACAATGCAACATACGTGCAGTCTTAAGAAAGCACCATCACCTGTCGTACCAACGCAAAATCATTCTTACATCGCAACAACCCTAAAGGAATCGGTGCTGGCAGCAAGTGAGCCCTAGGTCCCGGCCCGCGCAAGCGGAGGCTGTGACTCTTATGTTGAAAAGCCCTGTATGTATGTATGCAGTCCCCTCCTCAGTTTTCGAATACTGCTCAGGATAGTCTCGGTTCCAACCCATTGATAAGCATTTCACAATTTCATAAATGCCTACCAAACCCAGCATACTCTCATGGTATGACTGAAATTATCTGGAGTGAGATAGGCAAAATGTGACAACTTTTCGTTCTCAACCCCTGCTTATACAGGTAAAATGTGCCAACATTCTTCGTTCTCTACCCCTCTTTGTGTTTACAAAGCTCCCCCCTAAAAACAATGGCAATAGAAGGACTCTGTCGTTTAATCAACCTTCAACGTACGAACAAGTATCAAATCAAAAGTGAATAAAGCACGAAATCACCAACAAGATCACAGGTATATAGGATTAGCGAACATCTTCGAGTATTAGCTTCAACACCGTATGTATATAGTGGTCCATAGCACAAGGACCATGAGAAAGAACAAGAGAAAATCAGAAAGATTCAACACCAAAAGCTTCAGTACAGAAAGTAGAACTTGGGCATTGATTATAAATCAATCTATAAAAGAATATGGATATAAAAAATATCTCAAATCAGTGAGATAAGTCAGTACCATCGAGCAAAGTTGTACAATCTCAATCATGGGCAAGTGGTGATTCACATTAGAGAGCAATAAAAAATAATGGGGCCTACAAGTGAAAGCACACTAATAGTATTATATTTGTAAATAGCAAATACGAATGAAGCGACTAAATGAGTAATCTGAGATCAGTAATTTCAGGCATGAATGGAAGTTAGGTATAGAAGAGTGCCTTACGAATATGCAGTTGTTCTATGGCTGGGCAATCAAATGCAGGTGAATGGCTGGCAGTTCCAACCGGATAACCGTTCTGATATATAGCAAAATCTCCCAAAGCATGGCGATGCGAAACACGAACCTTTGAAAAAGCACATACTGAGACTGAATAAACACATAATCAGGCAAAGAAACTTACCAGCAGCTGATGATGCACCAAGTATGTCTGAGTAGGCTCGAAATGTGTCAGAATCATTACAATCTGGAACATGAATTTAGAATCAGCTATCAAACAGGAGGTTTCCGAAGTACCTGTCGACTAAGTGGTGGGATAGAATCTGCAACGTCCAGAGTCCCTCGTGACGATAGCACGTTTATAGAGTTAGAACATTCGACCCTGGGCGAAAAGAAGTTGGTAAACACAGAAAAAAAGAGCATGATTACGTACTTTACATGCACATACATATCCTCCAAAACATTATCCACCATCAACAATAGACCAGAAAAATTTTCAGTTATGTACCGAGGGTATATACCATTTAGTGACTGAAAAATGTAAAAAATAATACCACAAAAAAATGAGGCGATATGCCCTTCAACACCAGCAACTCACGCTATGGAGTCTCCCTTCCTTCAGAGCCAGCTGAACCAGTGAATCTGTGTACAGTGCCGAAGAGCAAGGCACCATATCAGCAAATGTTGGCTTGGAGCTGGGAAAATACTATGATACTATGACAATCTTTCTCATGGGCTTCAAGACGTACCTATGAATGGCCAAAAACCCTTGGATCTTTCGCGATCCCAATGTGGACAGACTATGGCATATGACGATGTAGTAGCCAGGGCGCAGAAAAACGTCTCCTGAAATTGAACTAACTCGGACACTGAAAAAAACAAATTCAAGTCTTGCAGATGTAGAAGACAAAATGGAAGAGATAAGAAGTCATTGTAGAGTACCTGTGCTGACAAAAGCCTCCAACTTCCGCGGAGAGCGACACACGAGTTCTCCAATTGTTCCCGAGGTCGAAACCATATGTACACATATCATGAGATCCACCTACAATATCTCGCTCATAATTACTTCGAAATCGGAAAAAACTCGTATGCTAAAACCTGATCATGTGCTGTGCGAGCTCCGCTCTGAAACAATGTTAGGCAAATCTCCGTCGGTTCCTCGATGAGAATCCTGACCGCCCTGAAGTGACCATATTATTGCAGAAGAACCATCAAGTGGGATATATAAACTTCCAATCAAACCTCATGAAAATGCAAAAAATAAAGCTGTTCTTAATTGCCGTTGCTTTCCACAAGAAAAGGGTGAAATCATCGATGCAAGTCATGCGTATAAGGCTTTACACCAAAAAAGGATGTAAGTGATGTAAACTCACTTATCGGCGTTTGAAAATGTGCCACCCATCTGAATGGGTATGCGCAGTTCAGCCCAACCTTGATATATCCTAAGCTTAGCGATGTCAACTGCAAATGAGCAAATTGCATTGAACGTGATGTAAAACAACAAGGAAGCAAAAATTACCTGAATCAAAATGTGAAGCAAAATCATCATAGCCTATCCAAAATGTCCCAGTAGAAGGTTCTCCAGAGAGTAGTTTACGCTTTAAATCTGAAAATACAAATTTACCTCCAGGGAAAAATAAAAGCCCCATCATGTAAGAGGTATGAGACAAGAGGCAAAAAGAGTGATCAGGAACAAAGTGTGCTACAAATTTGAACGGCGTCTCTCCTTAGAAGTGGAGATCATGAAGGTTTGCGCGAACCAAATTGCGATATGTAGGTAACATTGGTAGACTTGAAGTGAAATTTACCTTTCGGCCAACCGGGCCAATTATTGCTCCATTTTCCCTTCCATACAAATGTTCCCCATGGATTGCGAAGTTTCAGCAACCTAGGTTACGCCTAATTAGAGGGGAGATTTGCATGAGAAGATAGGTAGACGCCAAACTTATCTGAATCAAACGGTTCATGCGGTTCACCCATTCGCTTAGGTTAGATCCATGAACTGACAGATATCGAACGAGTGAGCTGCTTGAACCATTTGAGCAGGATAATGGCGCCTGCCAAACGGACTAACCTGTGCTCGCCTTCTTGCACCACGTCTAATATGGAATAGGCGTGTTTCGAGAGTAGACCATGCCTTCGATACTGTTCATCGTTGACAGGTCTCCTACCAGCTCCACAACTACAACCCATAACGAAACCAGCTTCCCTAGAAACGACTGTTCAGTGAACCTGGCACTGGAGACTAAGTGACTACCTGGCGCTCAAGATCCTAGCCCATCGGACGTCTGGATCCACATCATCTTCAAGGGAGATTACCTCAACAGGAGCTCCTGAAATCGCCGTTTTCCGTGATCAAATGACTTATTAGAGACAGCTCACCTGTCAGAGTTGCCAATCCCTCGATGGTTCTACCAGCAAGAAGTCGAGAATAGCTTCCAAGTTGCTTGGCGAGTGCTTTTTCAATCAATGGTACCCACAGCTGGAAGAATCAAATCAACTATACTTCGTATAGGCAGCGAACATAAGAACTGTAACCTGGTTTTTCCTGCCGTCTGCAAAAGCAATTGATCTTGTCTCCAATCGGCAAGGAAAATAGTCGTCTACTAAGACAATTTTCCATTGTCCATCGATGCATAGCCTAAAGTACATATAGAAAACAAGAAAAATAAAGAGTGAAGACCAACAAGAAAAGGAAGAAAACAGTGACAAGAAATAAGATGCGAACTCCTCAATGAATCAAGTGTAGACCAGACTAGACCTTATCTGATACACGCCGCAGTGGGAATACTCCTTTGTTAGAAGTATGTGTTCAAGGACATCTGGTCTTTCAGCAATAAGAGCCATAGCGGACAGCAACCAGCAATCCCCCAAAACTCCTGAAAAGGGACATTCAAGAAGTACGAAAATCAATAACGTTGCAAAAAGCGATTTGCTCTTTGATGTTTCACTTCACTGGTGAATACAAAAGAAAATGTAATTGCTTGACTGCATTTATCTACACATCTCATGAAAAACCGTACCCTGTTCTATGTCTGATGAACGAGGATCTCTAAAAACAGTCCAAGGCCAGGCTCGTCCATCTTTAGTAAACATATATTCAGGGCGAAGCCATACATAAGAGCGAGGAATGACACCTAAATCGAATTATAAATACTTGTTAAGCATGAGGAGAGCCTTCACAAGTCGCGTTGCATACCTACAACAGGACCAAGTTCCGACGGATGCAAATCTCCTATAGACTTATCATTGTGAGGGAAGCTGTCATCAACAAATGTAGTCTTGTGTTGCCTAAAAACTTCAACAATGGAAGGAAAAACTCAAAGTTGAAAGAGAGAAAATCTTACGCGCAGAAGCTGACGATTCTGTTGTACGCTGCAGCCGCATTCTCGCGATCACGTCGTTCCACATCGGTCATCACCTCCGAGCATAGCGAAGGCATTTTATCATCTACCGACATGATACCCTATAGAAGGAATGCAATGAAGCAATATTTGAACAGAATTGCATCATACACAAATTTCAAACAAAGCTGAAAATTAAACATTTGACTCACTGAACTCGCTGTCCCGGAAGTGTTATTCACACCATTTAACACAGAAGTGTGAACTCGATTTTGCCCCCGCTGACGCCTTTTTGAGCCTGAACGGAAGGAGTTGTGCAGGTGCCACAAAATGCTTACATAACGCAACCGGAATAGTTCTTGTGATATAATGCAATGGGAAAGATAAATACTTCAAAGGCATGCAATTCTATGTAGAATTCGTATAAGAAAGCGCAGGGAGGAAATGTGGCGATAAAACTGTGTAAAAGAGTTTTATCAGCACACAATTAGTGCAAGGCAATTGGACAGACGATAAGGTTCAGCAAAGGTCATTTTCGATCTCAGCACATTCACAGTATCGTCCCTGACCAAGCAAATTCACTTCTCACCAACGCCGGTGCTTTTTTAGCAAACATGTTTGATTCAAAATGATCTACAAAATCGGAAAACCAAACGAATTGTATCGATATCCATTGACCAATTGAGGTTATGTCAGAAGGCATGATTCTACGAACTTCGTAGTACGAAGTTTGCCAAGCGCGGACAGCAAATCTGACAAGTGTAGCCGCGCACTGTCCAATTGCTGCTTTTTGTGAATTTCCTCTCTACTGCACGTGCTTAACGATGTGTGGCTAAACTCAGGCGCACTAAAGTCCAAAAAAAGTGTCAAACATAACATGAGTAAAAACGTAGGAAACAAAGACCAACCTAAGTTACATTCACTGCACTGTGAGCAAGTTGTTGACTGCTCTGAATTTTCATGCGAACACTTTCGACAGATCCATGTCTGGCTTTGTGAAGCAAGTGAGGACAATTCGGTTGTGGCCACCGAAGCAGGAGGATTACTATGTGTTGAAGAATCACCGTTCACGATCCACCCTGGCGGTGCCGCTGGTCGAGGTGGCCTAGGTGGTGTAGTTGAGCTTGCAAGCTCTGGGTTAGAGGACGAACGGCCCGGGAAGAGTCCTGCAAAGTGCTTCGGAGATGCTTGCATGATACTCAAACATGAACAAAATGTTCGTCACTTTTCAATGTGATTTCAAAGCGTTCTCCACTGGTCTAGATTGACACCTAGCAGATAGACGCAGCTAATGTTAGTGCATTCTTATGCTCTCAAGACCGATACACAGCTCCCACGGCTCTATTATAAAGTAGGACCTAACAGCAACTTTTGAGCAACATCATCACTTCAGTCACGAATGGGCTGTCTAGATCTTTTATGAGCATCCATACCATTTCGTGCCGTGCTTCCCAAAAAAGATTTCATTCATTCGCTAAGATAAAAATTATGAGGGTGGCAACAAAAAAACCTTATCAGCCTGTCAATGTATTTCGACACATCCCAGTAATAATTACTATTCGCAATTTGAAAAAAAGTGGTTGTTTGGTGAGGAAGACATGCAGTCTTCGCACAAAGCAGTCGGGACACTCAAATAAGTAAAATCAATACAAAATGAAATGAAAAAAAAATTACACTTTGGCACACAGTATACTTCCTAAACGCGGCCTTTTGAGCCTTCATGCACAACCCAGATGATGTGACACACCGCATATGGCAAGGACCGGAACGCTGACAGTTGGTTATTAAGCCTCACAGCAAGCCTATTGTTTATTTTCCCGCGCAACACTCAGGGAAAATCTCCTTACAAACTCAAATGGAAATGTTTTCGAGTCACGATATATAGCTTCTTGGGTCTCGCACGCACTGATTCGAGTTTTGATGCCAGAAATTAGAAACATGGCAGCTTCGCAAACCCTAGATAGTAATTCAAAATGCTGCATTCCATACACGAAGCTGTGCCCTCAGTTTCCCCTCTGATGTACTCGAAGAATAAAAATGACGTGCAGGGTGTCCTGCAGATCTTGCGCAGGCTGCCGCGCACATGTCGCGCAGGACTGCTCCACGCTTGGCGGTCGTTATAAGCAAGTGGTAGGACTCGAAAGGTGGAAACAAGGCAAAAAACTTCTCCACAGCATATTTTCTTTCGGTTTCCTGTTTTGACTTCGTATTGCGCGGAAGTTGAGTTGAAGAGAGGGAAAGGGACCTTACTGCAGTAGAAGAACCTCAGACTCCTTCTAAGCACTTACTTAAACCAACCCCATGCCAAAAGATTGACCCATAATTTGTAAGCAAAAAAATGGTGGGGCCAAATTTTCCAAGATCAAACCGCCCCAAGTGAGACCATATGATACAATGAAGAAAAAGCGTGTAAAGTGCTAACGATGATAACATCATCTGTTTCTGTAAGGCTACAGAAATATCAGCGATTCATGTTCGTCGGGCTAATGTCATCCAACAAACATTTCGTCGTGACTACAATATCGTGAAACATAGCCAACTCATTGATTTTTCGGCTTTCATTAGCCTACTCATTAAATCCTTTGGCTTTCATCCACATGTTTTCATATCGCTCGCTATTACGATCACAAAATGTCGTTCCATTGCGAGAGAACCGTACGGTTCATAACTCAAATGAGAATCCATTACTTGGCTTGTCGCCCTACGCAATGAACGCTTTTCGTCCATCATTTTCGGTTATCCACCTCAATCTGAGCGAATGACCAGTACCAGGACATTGGTGTTCTTCCCTTCATCTTATATTTCTGAGCAACATCAGAAAACATAAGTAAATGGATTAGAAAACCATTCAAGCACACACTTAAAATAAAATAGAAAATTGATAAAGGACCTCGTAAATAAGGAACACAATGATAGGAAAAAAAACCATGGTGTAAGAGTGGGAATATGTACCTGGCGAAATAATGGTAGCAGGGAAGCGTTGCCTAGAAACGGCATTGGTGGGTCCATTGAATAAGTCCAGTACAGCGTTAGTGACATCCGAAACTGCAAACAATCATTTTCAAAAAGGCATTTTGAAAAAGAAGTGAAACGTCACCGGTAATTTCCTCATAGTTAAACAGAAAAACAGAAAAACATACAATCTATATATGGATGATAGGCTCCGTAGAAAATCTATCACTTACTTGGTTTAATGATCATCTTAGGCAGCAGTGAAGATCTTCCTCGTTCCTTTGCCGAACCGCATGCTGCACACATGGTGTTGGCTTCGGCATTTACTAGCGTGCAATTTTGACAAGACCATGGCGGCATTCAAGTATAATCTGCAAACTTCTGACATAAAATGATTGTGATGAAAATTACGATACGATAATGTCGGTTCACAGCAGTTTGAAAAAAAAAAAACTTCTTCCAAACTGGACAAATGCAATCCGCGATTTTCACAAGGAAGAGTTCCCAAGTCGGCCAAACCGTATACTTGAAACGCTGTTTCCAAATCTACTTTTCTCTTCTGCGGAACAACTCTCCGAAAGAAGTTATGAGCTATTGAAAGTCTAAAGTTGTCATGTTTGAAGTGGCCTAAAATTAGATAAAAGCTCTAAAACAATACCTAGCGGACTTCCACAGGCTGTATTCCGTCCTTGTAGTCAGTATAGTCGTTACAAAACTGATAACCCACTTTTACGTGTTATTATACAGCTTTTGCCATTTTATGCCACTTAAACTCGGCAAATTTGGACCTTCAAACGCTCATAATTTTTTTTCGGAGAGTTGTTCCGCAGAAAAGGAAAGCAAATTTGGAATCAGCGTCCTAATACCGATACGTTGATATATGACTCATCATACAAGTTGGCCGAGCTGACTTGAGAACTCTTCCTTGTCAGAAAAAAGGTAGTCATCTAATTTTAGCACATGATAGGAAATGTAACGTTTCACATAACTTCATCGAAGTTTGTAAGAAAATTGAGTTGCGATACAGATTCATATCCCACAAGGGCAAAAACAAAACGACCAAACTATATGGGATTTTAAAAAAACAATGTAGAGCGACATTTTTAATCCGTTCATATTATCGAACTGTGCAACGGATACAAGCAATCATGAAAAGGTTGATAAGACTGTGTTATAAAGTTTTTAATAATATTCTACAGCCTTCAAATCCTCTCAACAAAGGGAGCTACAATATCTTTTAAAAATGCCTCTTTAAATAGAAATGAGTGCGAAGTTTCAGCAAATTCTGATTTTGATTTCCCTACTATATAACTGATGTAACTCTTCAAAAGGCCCTTATCGAATTACTCTAAGCGTCTTTTCGGTAGAGAGAAAGGCTCAGCATTTCCGTAACTTACGGTCGAAAATGAATGTAGGAGGGTCATAAGATAATGGGCTGAAAAGCGCAAACCAACATAAAGTCTTGCTATCACTGATTTAGATCAAAACGGACATACTGACAAATGAAAACCGTTTTTAAGCAGCTCTCATCAAGCACGTGCTGATGACTCACGGAAAAAAACTATTCACAAAGTTGTAGTCATACTTGAAAAGTGAACATAGTACAATGTCACCTATTCTCTGAGAACCTAGCCTCATTCAAATTATGGAATGGAGGATAATAAAATCGTTATCTTTAAAAAACGTCACTTCGCGACTAATTAAGTCCCATGAGATTTTGGGCCAAAAATATGTTCAACGCAAGCAACATATACGATATAAAGAAAGATATGATAAAAAGATAAACAATCTGAAAGACAACTCGTAACTCGTAAGCAACTGGTTTGAAAGTTCTCAATAAGAGATATTCGAAGTGTCAATTGTACCGGCGAAATGACAGAAAATTGCAGGCAATTATTGGTAGTCGGAAGTCAAGATCCCAGCATCGATGTCATACGGCAATGAACAAGAAGATGAAGATTCAACTACGACGTTTTGAAGACTTACACATGAATTTAAAATAAGAAGACTACTTTTCACACATGTCTTTATAACCATCACAGAGAAATTACACGCCCGGCAAATAGAATTTCAAAGAGATTTTGTGTGTTTAAGATGATGTTAGCGCACAAAGGTTATGGAAATAGACAATAGGGGCATCGTGACACTCTCAAACCAACGATTTCATAACATACTGTGCAAATTCGATGAGGTAGAAAAAAACCGGAAAATGACGGTAATCGGACCTTTTGTTGATCAAAAATCGGAACAGCACTGATTCACCTGGTAAAGTATAAAAATTAAAGACCATCGACTTTATTCAAATTATGTTGAATCGATGAATGCCAACTGACAAACAATTTGCACATAAAAAGACGCTATTCCAGGGAGTTTGTAAGTGCAGATCTTTGGAGTGTATGTCAAGAGGTGCGAGTTTTATCGTCAGATGAACACCAATTATCGCATTTTTAGTATTGTATGATGTTTTAGGAAATTCAATTTTCAAAAATATATGTATGATTGTCCCATGGGTTGCTCGATCTTATTATTCTGAAATATATCCAAAAGATGAGTGTTGGAGGTCAAAAAAATGAAACAAAATGAAACTAATGGTGTTTTCGTAATATTCCAACCAGCTTTCCACCAAAAGCCATCAAACTTAGGGTTTTGGGTTTGGTTTCCCCAAAAACTATAAGATTAAAGAAAGGCTTGTACACTGAACTTATTATTAGAGATAAAACCGAGTAAGAGTAGCACACTAGTTTTCAAACTTCTCCAACATGACATAAAACTTGTTCGAAGTAAAAGACTAGCTACCATAGGAAACTGTGATGCAATACGAACTGAAGGACCAGACTCGGTTACGCTGCGCAGTTGTGCTAATAAAAAACTTGATCTTTCTTTCACTTTGAGCACTAAAATTCACAACAAATAGCGTACGAGGTTCAGTTCGTTGAACATACATGCGGATGAGTAACAAACGAACTATTAAGGAATGACAGCGATGGATGTACAAGAATATGTCAACAGCTGCGGCCGCGTTCGATAGGGATTTGGGATTTATAAAACATCGTATTGAAGAGAAATAAAGAGGAGCAGTAAATAGATCGCTTACTGCCATGTCGATTACCTTCCATTAGAGAAAGAAGATAATGGATGCTGGTAGAAAATCCGTTTGAGAATGATGAGAAAGCACGTATCGAGAACGAAGCATATATTCTCTCCAAAAGCCATAATGCGCTCTGGATACGAGTTCATGTTGAGTAAGACGCATTGCACAAGAAGATTTGTTGGCACAAATTGAAAATGAAGGTGGAAAAGTCAAACTACGAAAGATTTCAAATTACAAATCACAGCAATTCCTCACCATAGGAAAGGCTATGGCTAAACATCACAGCTGCGAAAGCAGCACAAAAAAATCAATGTCTGTAACAAAATGAGCTCGCAGACGCTTGAGCCTTCTCCCCAGACAAACTATAAGGACAACAGTAAAGTGCTGCTGTTCTAGCGGCGTAAAACATGCGGATGAATCATTTCATAACAAAGAACGTTCAACTACGAACAACAGCATGCATGACAATAGTTGTTAAGCACGACCTAGACGGAAACGATAACAAAAAAGTGGAAAAGCTTGAGATTAGTGCAAAAAGCTGTCATGTGCACAAGATTTCAAAACAGCTGAGAATAAATCAAACAAAACCGACAGAAAACGACTTTAAAGACAAGAAACGAAACGCCTCGAATATCAAAAAGACAACCGTTAATCTGCTTAGAACATTCGAGACTTAAACCGCAGTAAAGCTTTACATTTAAGTTTTCAAACTCGCGACGGACAGCACCGTCTGGCTGCTGGCCAACAGCTGATTGGAGCGCGGTCGCGTCGGGACCAAGTGCGTCTCAAGGTGTTCGGCCTTTACATGCCATCGTTTTCAAATCTAGGTACCATTTGATTGAACCGGCTTGACCTCAAGAAGGGGGGCTTCGTGACCTAATTAAGGCTAGGTAGTGATCAGAGAGCACTCGCGCGAGAGAGACGCAGATGCGTCGCGGGTGCGAGCGGTTTTAACTAGGTCACAAAGCCCCACCTTCCCGAAGCCAAGCCAGTTGAATTAAGGGATCGTTCAGACCGCGCCTGTACCCGCCCAAATACGCCCAAATACGTCCGAATACGTCCAAATACGCCCAAATACGTCCGAATACGCCCAAACCCGCCCGAACGCCGAAACTGCCAATGCGCAGCAAATTGCATGCAAATTGGCATATTGGAGCACGCGTGGAATACTGCGTGCGTGGTGCATATATGGTAGCCACACGTAGCTCGACGTTACATACCGATTTTCATATGCGACTAGCGGGATTACAAAGATCAATCGACTTAGAAACCATTACTCGTCGGAATCCGGCGCTGACCTTAGCTACAGTATATAGCTAACGCGACCATAAAAAACAACCCGGCTGCCTCTTACTTCTCCATTGATATTACTTATCAGGTCATAAAGTGGTCCTGTATTTGATATGATTTGTTGTTTATCCTCTGGGTCTTATATATAACTAATCATTTCGCTATCCGTATTCATAATGAATGAGGACCTAAGTTTGCTAACAACTGATGTTGATAGATGACGTAGAAGTATCATTTACGAGTTCTTTTTGTTGTTAAGGATTCCAGAATAAGACTGTCATTGATAAGGATGACTTCATCTCGCTGAATGTATATGTTTTGGGAAGCAGAGGTTCTACTAACTTCATCAAATAAAACCCTTTTATATTCTGGCGAAAAGTTATTGGGGTATCTCAATATTGATAAATTCCATGAGATATCTTAGAGAAACATCAGTTCCTTAGTATTCCCACCTTATGGTATATTGGGAGAGTATCCAAGATGAGGAGAATTTTCAATACCATGGCAAAACCAGAGAGTAAACAAGACAAAATATAGTTTCAAGATGACCTGATGATGGTAAGTAAGATTCATATGTAATAAGTAAGATTCATAGCCAAAGGAAAGATAAGAGGCAGCTCGGTCGTCTTTTATGGTCGCGTTAGCTATATACTGTAGCTAAGGTCAGCGCCGGATTCCGACGGATAATGGTTTCTAATCGACTTTGCGTCTGTTTTTATTTCTTCTCATGTTTGCTGACTCTAGGTGAGTTCTAACTTTCGTGCTGTGCGTTTTCTTGTTTTTTTTCGGGTTTTTTCCTTTCTGCTCCAAGTGAAAGTGCATCTGCGTCTGTGTGTAAGTACACACACATACACAACATACACACGCATACGCACACTACGGCATTCTCACTCACACACATGCACACAGACACTCACACAAACAATATATACCCACCTGCTACTGTACTTACACACAGACGCAGATGCACTTTCACTTGGAGCAGAAAGGGAAAAAACCGAAAAAACAAGAAAGCATGCACAGCACGAAAGTTAGAACTCTATAGTCAGCAAACATGAGAAGAAATAAAAAAGACGCAAAGTCGATTGATCTTTTTAATCCCGCTAGTCGCATATGAAAATCGGTATGTATCGTCGAGCTACGTGTGGCTACCATATATGCACCACGCACGCAGTATTCCACGCGTGCTCCAATATGCCAATTTGCATGCAATTTGCTGCGCATTGGCAGTTTCGGCGTTCGGGCGGGTTTGGGCGTATTCGGACGTATTTGGGCGTATTTGGACGTATTCGGACGTATTTGGGCGTATTTGGACGTATTCGGGCGTATTTGGGCGTATTTGGGCGGGTACAGGCGCGGTCTGAACGATCCTTAAGGGACCCGTCATACTTCGCCGAAAAAAGCCCAAAAGCGCCCAAAAAAGCCGAGAAAGCCCGAAAAAGCCCAAAAAAGCTCAAAAAAGCCCAAAAAAGCCCGAAAAAGCCCAAAAAAGCTCAAAAAAGCCCAAAAAGCCTAAAGCGCCAGAAAGAGCCGGAATGTAGAAACGAACTTTTGGTAGAATTCTGACATTATCTTATCATGCGGACGATAGAAAATGACAAAAAGGCTCGATTGCGAAGTCAACACACATGCCTTAGCGCCAAAACGTGCGAGAAGTGTTCCGTCTCTTTCTGGCGCTTTTGGGCTTTTTCGGGCTTCTTTGGGCTTTTTTCGGCGAAGTATGACGGGTCCCAATTAAGGGTTACATACCGTATGGGAAAAACATGCGGGAGTGGATGGTATTTACTGTCCAGGAAGGCCTGTATAGGCAGCGTACTAAAATTGAACAGCTTTTACAAACTTGTCATTGAAACCCACAGAATATCCCAAAAAAGTACGTATTCACTATTTAATCGTCATTCTCTTACGAAAAAGTCTTGCGCCGTCAGACAACCTACTTGTTCCTGGATGGCTTCAACTTACAACTAGATATGTAGGGGACGAATCATTCATCGATCTCGATTTATATTTGTGGTTCACGGTAGGAACTTCGGAGAGGGTTTAATCAACAAGGCCTTTGGCGGCGTATACCTCACAGATCGAGGCTGCAAACTCTTCCAGGCCTTCGAAGAAGAGAAACGCGTCGAAACGTAAGACAATACAAGATTCAACGTAAAAATTTGGGCTCGGGCAGTTTGGAAAATTTGGACAATTTGGGCATACAAAGAAGTGATGTTTCCACATGTCAACAGAGTGAGAAGGATCATTGTGAAGATTACTAAAGGGCATATCAATTGAAATTCCGGATGCACAGCATCTCCACCTCCAGATTAATGGGAAGAACAACGCAGTTTTTACGTAAAACCCGAGTTTTGGAGAGTTTCCGGGTAGGAAAACACACTAGTACTTTCGTCGTACTCGTTGAAAGTTTCGGGCGCCTTCACAACGGGATGAGACATAAGAGGAGCTCAAGAATAACTCATTCAGAACAAAGATCCACGATTTTTTCTCGTCATCAATACTGCACACATCATGAGCGCTTTCCGCTAAACAGGAATTAACAAATCAGATATGTTTTTTTTACCTCTCAATACAACATTTATGCTGCATTCAAGCATGTGTCTTCATTTACTAAATGTGCCGAAGACCAGGCGGTGGGCGCTTTCAAACTTACGTTTCAGTATATGTGAAGCAGAATTGAAGCTGCACTCCTTAAGGGCCGGGTATACTTCACGCAATTTCAGTCTCGACGCGATTTGGCAATTTGCCAGAAGCCTTTAGATCCAACACTATCAAGCTGCACATGTGTAGTGTGTATAACTTACGGGAAATGATAAAATGAGCCTATCCTCTGTATATTTAAAATGTGCTTCAATGATTTATGGATACTTGGAATATTGCCAAATGGCGACGCGACTGAAATCGCGTGAAGTTTGCCCGGCCCTTTAGGCTACCAAATCATTACAAGTACATGTGATTGACATTTGAAGTCTGCGATATATTTGCGGTATAAAATTTGCCGTTACCTGTTTGCCCGTAGCCTGCAAGATCATGGTAATATGAACGACGTTTGCCATTTGAAAAATCTACTTTTGTCTGTCTCCATCTTACTACAAATTGAAGGCTGGTTGTCGATTTTCAGCTATGTTGCAAGAGAGACGTAAATAAAAAGCATCTGTAGCCACTGTCAAAGTTCTCGTCTGTTTTATTGCAGCTTTTATTGGTAAAGCTATTGCTGGATTAATGTGTGAAATTAGCTGTTATTCAGTGTAGTTAGATCGTAGCTAAGCGAACTTATCATAGTGACTTAGCCCAAATGAGCAATCAGCAATCAGTACGCTATATGCGTAATTTTGTAGATCAGTTGATCACCTACTGTTAAGCTGTGCCCCAACTGACTAAGTCGGCAACTAAGTATTTAGTATACTTGGGGAAATTCGGAATTTTTTTCGAATATTCGAATATCGAATATATTCGAAAATTGAAATTTTCGAATATTCGAATATCGAATAATATTCGAAAATCGAAATTCTCGAATATTCGACTATCGAATAATATTCGAAAACTGAAAATTTCGAATATTCGACTTTCGAATTTTATTCGAAAATCGGAAATTTCGATTATTCGACTATCGAATATTATTCGAAAATGAAAATTTCGAATCGAATAATATTCGAATAACGAATATCATTCGTTATTCGAATTTCGTATATCATTCGATTTTCGAATATCTTCGATTTTCGAATACCTATCGAATAATTTACGTCATTGAGACTGCCTATGAAAGGCCAAAACATCTAAGATTAAATTGTTTCATGTAAGTGTTAAGAATGGACACTTTCTTGAATGATATCCACGAAAGTCCCCGCGAAATGGGCTTTTCGTGCGAATAAAATGGACTTAGTCCATGCGGTGCGATAAGATATCGCATTCGCGAATACATTCATTCCATACAAAAATGCTTCAACTAACCTTTCTCCAACTTGTCTCAACCTGTTTGCTCACTCTTGCAAACTCATTTCCACCAAGTGGTCGATATCTAACTAGGCTGACCTAACATTACAATGTCACTCAGGTGGCTATTCTATTCTTTCCCACTTCGCTACACCTAACAGAATGCCATTCGTTATCGATGACTATGCAACTAAATCACTTCCAAGACTAAAATTCCTGTAATATCCGGGCCTTCGCTTCAAAACTTCTACGAATCAGCATTAAATCGAATTCGTATGTGGAGATTTCTGCAAAAAGCAAACTTTGGCTGGAGTTGCACTGCAATCTGTGAACCAAAATGCTCCTTACAAGAAACCTTGTACTACACTACAACTCAAAGGGTTTTTCAAGTCGCAAAAACTTTGAATTCCAAATGACTTCGCAAGCGCTCTACATTAGCTTTTCTTTGTCTTTCAGCACTAATATTTGTAACTCTAAGGAGTTGAATGTATGGACTAATCTAGTAAGAAATTTTTCACGGAATTACTCTAGCTAACTAGCGGCACTTCAGTAATTCTTGCGGACCAAACTCAAAACTGCGTTTAAAATGCCATCTCTGAGGTTCGGTTCTACGAAATTAGCCAAAGATAGCTTCTAAGTAATCACATCGGAGTACAATTTTTTTCAAATTTTAGATTACAAATCATGAATTTGGTTTTCGTTGATTTGAAGAGTTAACAAACTTTATTTGTTTTACATAAGGATTTTCTGACTGACCTGATATTAAGAAGCATTTGGGTTTGTTAACGAATATTTGGGTGAATTTAATCTTTTTCTATGTTTTTATAGCGTTTCTATGAGTTTAGAAAGAAACACTTCTTCCAGGCTTCAAAAAAGACGTGAAACTTTTTCCACTCACCCATTACCTTAGGATAGGTTGAGGAACACATTCCCAAAAAATCCAATCAAAAATATGCAAAAAGGTCAAAAATGGGCTTAGTCCCAGCTCACCTTGCTGCTGGGAGTAAAATGGGCTTTCAAGTCCATTAAAAATGGAGGTAAATCCCATTTTGCCCCATTCTAAATGGACTTTTGACGTCATCATTTCGCAAGCGAGAGCTCAGGTAGGGTTAAATCATTTTCATTTCACCGCTTCGCCTCGTGGTTGCGATGGGATGAAAATTTTTGGATAACGCGAGCGAAAGCAGATTCCGACCACTATCCACCGCGAACGAATAAAATTGGGCTTGAAAGTCCATTTTCCTCCATTATGGACTTTCGTGGATATCATTCCTTATGTTACAATTTACGATGGAATAACGGTTTAGTCGTGACGTGAAGAGACTTAGGAACCTAAAAGCTCTCCTGTGACGGTTGTGAAGAGATCTTTCGTACTTTCAAGAAATACAGGGTGTCCCAAAAAAAGGTTAACACTGTTTGATCGTTAATAACTTCCTCACTTCCACGTCTTTTGCTGGGCTTGAGGAGCCATTCTGTAGAGCGAGGTCCAACTTAGATTTACAGTATGGAGCGAATCACCGTTCGCTCTTCATTACTGTAGGATTACGGTAGGATCGACAAGGATTTTAGGCCAATAGAAGTCACCAAACAGGCCAAAACCTCTTACACTATGGTAATGGAAGCCGCTGATTTCGAATATGAAATTTTCACTTTACGATGATGCTTCTTTCCAAAGTTGTCTTAGGTAGAGTGTGATAACTAACTTTCCAGCATGTGTCAAAAATGTGATAACACCGTCAAAAAAGCTGAAAACACTCGTAAAAATTGTGCAGTGAAATCAGCGTGCGCGAAAACCCCAGTACACGATTTTTCAGATTTTTTGAAAAAATTTTGTCAGATGGCGTATTTCACAACGGTTCCTCATGCTGGAACTTCCTACCGTAATTCTACAGTAACGAATAGCAAACGGTGATTCGCTCCAGACTGAAAATCTAAGTTGAACCTCGCTCTACAGAATAATGCCTCAAGCCCGGCAAAAGACATGAATCTAAGGGAGTTATTAATGATCAAACAGTGTTAACGTTTTTTGGGACACCCTGTATTATCTACCATCATTGAGAGATGCGATTGGATATACAGCGGTCCCAACGTATGTAGCTCTTGGGCTGACATCAACTTAGAGTATGGGGCGATTTATCAATCGCTTTTCACTGTTGTAAAATTACCGTAAGTTTGAAGAGAGTTTTGAAACATCAAGAGCCATTTCCCCCAAGAAAAAAAATCAAAAGGGCCGAAAGTCTTGCATTAGACTTCTAAAGAGACTCACACTTATGTAGAATTTGCACTCAACCGTAATGCTTTCTTCAAAACTTACGCCAGTACACCGTAACAAGTGCTTTGCAACGCCTTTCAAAAATGTGATTGCCATTTGAAAAGCTTGAAAACTCGTGCTTTGTGAAATTAGCATACGTAAAAACACTGCTGCACAGATTTTAGACCTTTTTTGAAGACATTTTCTTGGATGTCTTATTTTGCAGTTGGTCTGGAATTTCCCACCGTGATAACGATTCGCTTTCTGCTGTATTTATAAGCTGAAACCATCCCTACTGGATGTTACCCAGAATTTGGCAAAAGACTTTGAGAGGTATTAGGCGATCAAACGGTGTGGATACTTTCAAGACACTTCGTATACGCTATGCATATCGAATCTTCGAATATTCGGCGCTTATCGAATTTTCGAATAGTCAATTCTTATCGAATTTCTGAATATTCGGTGCTCGACGAATATTCGAATTTTTGATGGACATCGAATGATCGAATGAATGACCCTCGAATATTCGAATATCGAAAATATTCGAAAATTGAAAATTTCGGATATTCGACTATCGAATATATTCGAAAACTGAAAATTTCGAATATTCGACTTTCGAATTTTATTTGAAAGCTCAGATCTTCGAATATGACTTTTCGAATCATTCGCATTCGAATGATTTATTCGAATGATCGAATAATTATTCGATTCGGTCCCAAGTATACTATTTAGGTAAGGAGAGACATGCTTCTTCTGGCTCCGGGAGTGGCAGTGGTTCTGCAAGGAATAACCTCCCTTCTGCCTCATCGTCAGATAAGGAAATGTAGGAAGTTTGATGTCTTTAGTCAAATATAATTCTTCCTTTTTTTGTAAATATGATGTTTAAATCACATAAGTATTCCAAATTACAGAGAAAATGAAGCTAATGACCATCCCCGTTCAGGGGGAGGAGCAGAACCGTCAAAGGTACAGTTTGTTCCATGCCAAAGTAGGCGCAAGCATTTCTGGAGCTGCGCGTCCGCATCGCTAGAGTTTTGCGAGCGCACAGCATTTTGAGCAAAGACAGAGAAGAATGAAGAGACAAATAAGGGGTTCTTACCACGGCATGTGAAACCATCGAAGATTGAAATGCTTAAAATTATTACTGGTGCATGAATTGAATGAAGGCTAAATATGCGCGTGTCCAGTGACTCGGATGGCCAGCTATCGTTCCTTTTGCTGGCCATTGGATCTGATTGTGCGAAGCATAGGTACATAAGATAAATGCGTAACGCTCCATATGTTATCGTTGCTTAGAATAACGGGTTAAGGGTTGTTTGTTTGTGTGCGTATGTGTATGTGTATGTGTATATTTATGTGTGCTTTTCAGCTCAAAATATGAAAATTATGAGACCGACATAGGCAATCGGTAAAGCTGAAGGAGGAAACCACAGTCATGCTCAGCCTGATCACTTACGCATTTTTACCATTTTCGGGCTCTTCACCTCAAAGTTTGCAAAGATTTGGCAAAATCATCAGAGGCGTTTGGGTTATTGATAGTCAGTATGCTCATTTTACTTCCCTCAAGCTCTAAGCCGCAGCTTGTAACTTGCGCGCCGATCTACGCCAACCTACGGATTGATCCTGATCGGAACATTAGTATGAGCTGTTTTTTAAGTCTGTGCTCAAAAGTAGTTCAAACTGAGGTCTTGACATAACCCAGTAGCCTATTTTACAGTTTCAGTCTTTTGCTGACGTCGATCGTATTCTCGAGGGAAATGATGTTCGACCCGGTTACGACATGTTGAAAAAGGTGAGTTTTCGACTTTTATCTTTTGCATTATGTAATACAGTATCTTGTACCGTAATCCTAAGCTGTCGCTTTTGTGGCAAAATGGTGCAGTGGTGCATTCTGTGCGCTTTTATCAGGCTTCAAAACTCAAACTCGCCATACAGCGTTTTCAGTGACGCATAAGCTTTTCAATATGCATTATTGGGTGCCACCCAATACTACAGTTGGCGGCAGCTTGAAGGGTTGACACGTATTTCTTCTTGCTTTGCAGATAAGATCCCCTATTTAGCGTTACGACGCCGGTGAGAAATCGTCTGATTTGCTTTGGCGACTTGCCAAAACTTGTGATAAAATGGCTTTACAAAGCGCTGATGAAGGGAGAAAGAAGGAGCTGATTTTCGAAGGTTGTATAAGTTTCAGTGGAACCTACAACGAATATGAAAGTTTTTTTCTTCAGGAAAGTCCTATGCTTTGGAGGCTGTACAAGCCAATGAAAATGATTTTCAAGCAGTGAGGTGGGCAGCAATTTTGACAGGGAGAACTACGGATTATCTTGGAACTAAACAACGTATCGAAGAAGGAGTAAAGTTCAAGGTTGCCGTAATTCTGAAAATAAGGCATGTTTGTCTTGAATTCAACTTATAGAAACTCCTGGATAAAGCTCTAGCCATGAACAGTAAAGAGAAGGTGCTTTTACATCTGCGAGGCAGATTCTCCTACTCAGTTGCTAGCCTGTCTTGGATAGAGCGAAAGGTAAGTTATTTTGAGGAAAAAGATTTGAAGATATTGGGAAGCTTTAGTTTGCCGCGATCTTCTTTACCACCCCTCCCACTGCTACTATGGACGAAGCTTTGGTTGATCTGCTAGCCGCTGAAAAAGAGGAATCCGACTGGATAGAAAATCTCATCTTCATCGCTCGCACATATCACGCAAAAAACGACAAGGTGTGATGTTATTGTTAGTTGAATTAGTTACTTTCAGAGAACCATGCAACTTTCCAGGAAAATACTAGGAAATACTGTGAAAAATGTCTCGCCTGTGCGCCGAAGAATGAAGATGAACGTGGTCGACAGAATGAAGCAAGGAAATTGTTAGACAAATGCTAAGACGGGGTTCATATGCAAATGTTTCTTTGCTGTAACAAGATCAAATATTTTGCATGCGTTTGTTTATATGACTCAAGACTACTTCGGGAAAGCTTAAAAGCCCAATACATTTCTATTGCGAGTAAAGAGCAATATGTTGCTGTAAAGCAGCCTCCAGTGTATCTCTTTTCCTTTTTTTCCAGAAGAATGTGATTTTCTACACCTTCACTTACCAAAAAAATCCATAGGCACTCCTCCACTTTTGTTCTCCGATATTAGTTATTGACGTTCCATTGTGAGACTCTGTTGATTTCTGCACTTGACATCATTCGGAAAAGAATGGGACAACAATTTTCCAAACCAAGCTAAATCTACCATGCATGCTTCGGATGGCAGCTAGGAGATGTTGATTTCACTTGGAAGGCGGACCAAGTAGTCAGTCCCTTGCCGAATTTTATCGTTACTAAGCCTCACACCCCATTTATACATAGAGGATGTCCCAAAATAATGTGCACACTGTTTGATCTTTGATCACTCGGTTACTTCGATGTCTTTCGCCGATCTTTAGGTACCAATATGTAAAGCTCGCTTCAACCTAGATTTTCAGATGGAGCGAAACTGCAATCTCTGCTTGCTACTATAGGATTACGGTATGATCTTTCAGCTTACAGCGCCATTGCTAATTGGGAAAATTTTCAAGAAAAAAATTGGAAAATTGTGTGCAGGGTTTCCAAGCGAACACTGAGCAGATGTTACCCTGTTTCCCTGAAATACCTTTTAAAGGAAGCATAGCCGTGGTGTGCAAATCTGGTGCTGAACTCGACAACACTGAATTGCTGCAACTGTTAACGGCTCATTACCCTTTCAAAGTTCCCATAATCGCATATAACAAAGAAAAATCGGAAACACGTTCTATACTGTACATCTAAGTCGAAGCCAGCTTTAGGGAACGGACCTAGAAACAGTCGAAACATCGAAGCAAGCGAGTCATCCGATTGTGTGCACATTATTTTGGGACATCTGTCGACTGTTGCTGCAGCCAGCTGCCGGAGTTGCCGGCAAAGTAGCTGCAGGTGGTAGAATAATTACGCTTGTCGCCTAAGATTCTTGCCAAGAATTTCTTTGCATTTTGTTGCGCTGAATTGCGATCAGCCTCAGGTATAGCGTGATACTTCCATTATCTACACCATTTTGGACAGCAAAAAGTTTATAAATATTTTCAGTTTTTCATAATCATGCAAATTAACAAAGCTCAAATAGCAGAATTTCCATGAAGGGGAATGTTCACAAGGTCAGTTTACTCTGAATACCCAACTAAAACTGAAAACTACGAAACTCAGATTTCATTTCAAAAAATCTTTTTTCCTGAAATCAAAGCCGGACAACTGGTGAGAATAATTACATGGAAATTTTGAGGATATAACAGTAAGAAAGTCTGCCAAAATCAGCGTCTTTGACAGTGATGAAAAAGCTATAAAGTGTTAAAGAGAGCTGGGATAAAGCTGATCGTATTGCTTGTGAGGTTTTCGGATATCTTGTATTTTTGGACGACCATTCTCTATAGAAAATTTCAGAGTTGTCAAGAAATAAAAAATGATCCAATTTCAAAAAAACCTAATAACCACTTCGCATCTCATATTCTGGAACGTTCGTGGAGAAGTGGGTTTGAAGTTAGGAAATTTTTGGAAATTTTGCGCTTGTTCAGTTAACGTACGAATTTTCTGCTGTTCAAAAGCTATAGATGCGAGACATCACGCCATGCCTGGGGCTGGTCGCGCATCTCAGGCAAGAGGTGCGAAAGCGTAATTATTGATTTATCTATTTATCAAATGCACAAGAAGTGCGCCTGTCATAAAACAGCAAAACTAACTAATAATCAGTAAGAAAAAAATAGAAAAAAATCTACACAGAAACTTGAAACTAGTACCAGTATAAAAATCTCAAGCGACACTCATTCAGGTACATTTAAGGGCCAGAATGATACCACTCAACAAAAAAATGATATCGAGATTATAGCCTTTGAAATTGGCTACCCTAGCTAACCTGCCAATTACTGTGCTACCTGCAGCTACTTTGCCTGCAGCGCGGTAGCTGCGACAGCAGTTGGCTGCTCGCTTACCACTTGCTATGCCCCCTCCCCCCTTCCCTCAATGAGATATATATCGGTCAAAAGGTCTCCAAACGCAGGCTATAAAACAATCTTTCAAATCTATTAAATGGTATAGTGGGCAAAATTAGAGGCATTTTCCTGCTCTTAACTATTCATATACTGTCTAGATAACGTAGATTACCAGTAAATGCGAGTCTGCCACAAAGCTACTTGCTCGAATCTTTCTTATATAAAGCTTGTGTGTTTGCATGTCTGTCTATCTCATACCTATGTCATACGTACGTATGTGGGGAGTAGAAATTTCTATTTCTAAACCGATCCGGATTAAAGTTTGCACATAAACAATGCCGGGACGAGCGGGCTCATAGGCTACTTTCCGCTAGTTCTAACTCCACGGTAATCGATTTCATACAAAGTTTGAGCTTCAAGGCTGGGAGTTGGCACAGGGAGCAAAATGAGCAGATCACGAATACAGTATTACTTTTAAAATGATTCCCCACAATGGTCTGCCGCCGCAACGCGGCGTGGAGGTGACACTTTCGACTGCCGAGTGTATAGTGTGTACTCTGGCAGGCCCTCTCAAGCTGTGAAGGAGTTCACGTTGCCGGTTTCGGCAGAATGCCTAGCTAAGACCCGGCCAGGCCAGATCCCCGCCGTCTGACTTTTCCGGTCACTAGGCGGTCCTCCCCGCTCCACACCCGGGTCAGCGATCGCCAATCGATCCGATGGAATTCAAGAGTTGGCCTAATAAGTCTGCTCCTGTAGAGGAAAAATATATCACTCGATCAGCAAAAAGAAAAGAAATAAACCCTGCACATTGGATCCTGCCTACGCGCCGGGTGGTAGCAAGAACGATGTCAGGGTATTCAGGGCGCCTTCGGATTTGAAACAACACGTCTGCCCGGACGGCAATGGAGACTGCCTCATGCTCTGCACCTACAACGCCAGCGTGGTGAGAAGATTCCATCACGAAAAGTGGGAGGCGTTGGCTTTGTCGTCCCATCTATGCCCATCTTGTCGATTCGCACGAGATCCTATCACCCCGACTAGCCATCCTACGACTACGCCTTTCACGTCAGAAGACCATCAGCATCATAAACTGCTATTCTCCAACATCAGCAGCTGACGATTCAAAACTAGATGCTTTCTACGAAGACGTGGAGCAGGTCGTCCGCAACGAGAAGTCCTTCTACAAGTTCGTTGTAGGCGACTTCAACGCGGAGATCGGGATGCCACTAGAAGAGGAATTTAGGATCGGAAAGTTCGGATATGGGCTCCGGAATGAAAACGGCAACCGTCTCGTTGGGCTTCTCCCAGCCGCACAAATTTTCCTGGAAATTCTAAGAACATCGCCGGTGGACTTGGGAATCTCCCAACGTCACGACTCATGCGGAGATCGACCACATTCTTATCAACCGAAAGTTGAGCTTGCTTAATGTCTCACTAGTTCCATCCTTCTGCAGTGGCTCCGATCACCGCCTTCTTCGAGCAAAGATACAGTTGAAAGCTGAAAAAGAAAGTCTGTCACATGTTGCAAGAAGGAAGGAAGTCGTTTGCGGTAACAGGTTGGAAGAGCTCATATCAAGTTGTGACTGGCCCATCGACGAGGACCCAACGTACGAACTACGACCTGCTTTTAAAAGGATTGCGAGCCTGCGGTGCGCCTTAGTGACTTCTGGAAAGAACCTGGAACGTATTTCGAAGACCACAAAAGAATTGTTCGAAAAAAGAAAATTTCTGAGGCAGAATCCGAACGCAACCCATCTCGAACGACTGGTAGCCAACGCCAGTTGCAGAACAGCTTTGCAGGAGGGTCTCAGAAAGTACAGGCAAGCCAAGATACTAAAAGCAGCCGAAGGAAGAATTCTCAAAGAGTGCCGAAAAAACCTCCGCGAACACATGTACCGCTGGCTGCACTACTGAACGAAGGCGGGACTCCTACTTCCCCCCGCTACAGGATGGAATCTATCGCGAAGAACTTCTGCACCAACGTCTTCCGCTTATCAACACCCGTGCCGATGCCCGTTGTTCCCACTGGAGAAGTACCACCAAGGCTTCTATCTGCTGAAGTGCGTATTGCGATACAGACCATGAAGACGTCCACGACTCCGGGACCAGATCATCTTTCCGTCCAACTTCTGCCAGTCAGAGGACACCGTCTACACCAGGTTATAGCGTCGTATTTAACATCTTACCTTCAGAAGGAGAGGATTCCCGACCAGTGGGGAACGTCGAACCTTTACTTCAAGAAGGGTAAATGGGAGGATCTTCTAAACTATCGTCCGATATGCTTGCTGAGTGTGCTGTACAAGCATTTCACGAAGATTATCCTCGCTTGCATATCTAGGAAACTGGATGAAGCCCAACCCCAAGAACAAGCTGGATTTCGTAAAGGATTTACCTGCATGACCACATCCAGACCGTTTCGAGGGTCATAGAAATCTGCCGGGAGTATCGACTGCCTCTCGTCCCAAGCTTCATCGACTACGAGAAAGCCTTTGACAGCCTCGAAACTAACGCCATCTTGTTAGCGCTAGCCTATCAAGGAATGGGCCCAGCTTACATGAGGACACTGAGTGACTGCTATAAGTACCGTAGAACGACGATGCAGCTATTCCATTGCCCATTGACCATTATAATTGGGAAGGGGTCGGACAGGGCGACACAACCTCGATAAAACTGTTCACCACGGCCTTGCAGTATGTGACGAAATTACTGGACTGGGACGAGGGAGGCATACGAGTTGATGGGAGAATTTCTGTCCAAACGTCGGTTTACGGACGACATCGTTCCCTTCACACAATAACAATGAAGCAGAGACGATGCTGAAGGAACTGAACAAAGTAGGGAGGAAGATCGGATTGCGAACAAATTGGGAGAAGACCCAGTTTAACGCCCTATACAAAGATGC